GGGGGGTGGGCGAGATCTGCGGGTTAGCCCCGGGGTGGTGGTGCCGAAATAGCCAACGGAGCTCGGTGGGGAGGCACTCGGGCGCGCCCGCCCACTCATCATGGGCAAGCCCCCATCGCCGGGCAATAAATGGCCGCGCGAGCGGCCTCCGGCAGCAGGATGGGGCTGTGAGCAGGGGGGGGGCGCAGGCACCCGGCCGGACACTGTGGGGAAAGCCCTCCGGCCCGGGGGAGCGGCCGAGAATGCCGGAGACGGGGGCTCGGCCCCAATGGATGCCTGCCCCCGTGCTCGCGGCCTTTTGAGCCGGCCCCTCGTCCGACTCGCCGGCCGGGGAGCGCCCTCAGCCCGTCCCGGCAGCAAGGGGCGCGGGGCGGGGAGGGGTGATCGTGCGATCCAGCGTGCATGCTCCGCCGCGCGGTCTCAACCCGCGGCACTCGGCGCGGTAGGAGGAGTGAGGGGCATCTCTAGTCCTTAGCCTCCGATGAATCGGCCGGCCTGGCCGGTGCGCCGCCCTGGAGGGGGCGAGAGGGGGCAAGAGGGGGCGGGGTTGAGCCTAGCGCCGGCGGCCGGAGATCCTCACGCCCGCCGTGGAGGTGCCCGGCCACGGCCGAGCCCGGGGACTAGGCATCTCTGCCGGGAAAATGGGTGGCCCGGCGTTGAGGGCGGACCGCCGCCCGAGGCACATGCCCCGGTGGCGGATTCCGGCGGCAATGTTCCGGTCCGACGTGCGGACCTGGGGGGCACCGTCCGGAGAAACACCCCCCATGCATGCCACCTCGCGTGTCGGAGGCCAGATGCGCTTGCCACCTCCGCCCCCGGGGCCCCGGCGACACGCGCGGCGGGCATTAACCGGGGGCCATTGCCCGGTCGCCGCCGCCCGCGCGCCGGCCCCGATCGGGGCGCCCCCCGGCACAGCGGCTTCGGCTCCCCTATCCTGGGTCGCACATGGTCTCGGAAGCCGCAGGCGCTGCCCCCCCTCCCCCCTTGGCGCGCGCCGCATACACTCGCGCAGGCACACCGTGGAAGCACGCACGCACGCGCGCGCTCTCTCTCTCTCTCTCTCTCTCCGGGCGCCGGGCGCGGAGCCCGGGTGTGTCAGGGGGCGCAGGTCGGCCACGCGCCGGCAGGTGCCCCCCGGCACAGGGGCGGCGCGCGCCTGAAACGTGCCATTGCGGCAGCTGACCCGGAGCATGTGACCCGAGAGCCATTCTGGCCAGGACCAATCACCGCTGTCCATCTCACCGAGCAGCCCCCGGCCGAGCCCCGGGTCGCGGAGCCCCGGGCTTTTAAAAGCCACCGGCTTGGGGGACCGGGCGCCGGCGGGCAGCCCCCAGGCACCTCCCATTTCTCTTCCACCTGCCCCCCTCTCCCTCGCCGCTTCCCCGCTTCTGCTTCGGTTTCCCCTCCCCTCTCCCCGACCGAGCTCCACCTGCCACCATGGCTCCACGCGCATACGGACTGCTGGCCCTGCCGCTGCGGGCGGTGCTGCTGCTGCTGCTGGCCCTTGTCGGCCTGGTGTCGGCGGCGCACTTCCCCCCGAGCGACACCTACACGCACATCACCAGCGCCAACATCCGGGACAAGGTCCGGCCCGCCGAGGTACGCAACCCGCCGCCCTGGGACACGCTCGCGGCCCCCTGCCCGGCCGATCGCACTCTCTGACCTCCGGCGATCTGCCCGGCCGTCCTGGCGGCGCTCTGCACGAACAGGCCTCCTGGGTGCTGCTCTTCTACGCCCCCTGGTGTGGGCACTGCACCAGCCTGGCTCCGGAGTACATCGCGGCGGCCAAGGAATTCCACCCGTCCAAGGGTCTGGCCGTGCGCTTTGGTGTGGTCAACTGCGATGTTGAGAAGCCCCTGTGCGACCGGTACAAGGTCCAGGTATGTGGCACCGCCTCGGCCCGTCCCTCCTGCCCTCCCCTTGCCTCCCGCCGCCCATGGCTCCCCCTGCTGACATGTCGTCTCCCTGCTCCCCTTCCGGGCGGGTCGCCTGCGCGCGGCGCACAGGGCTTCCCCACGGTCAAGATCCAGACGCTCAAGGGCATGGAGGATTACACCGGCCCGCGCTCGCGCATCGGCCTCACCAATGCCGCCCTGTCCAGCATCAACAACAACTCCCGGCCTGTCAAGTCGGTTGACCAGTACCTCCATGAGAATGTGCGTGCCCCCTTCCCGTGCCGCATGCGTGAAGCCACCGCGTCTGACACAATGGCCCACTTGTGCCATCACCTTCCCGGGGGTTGGGGGGGGCAAAAAAAAACACTGCCACCAAAACACCACCAGCCCTACCACGGCAAGGTCCTCCTCGTGTCGGACAAGCTCTCCGCCTCGCCGGGCTACCGGTCGATCACCAACGCCCCGCGCTTCAGCCATGTGGACTTCGGCTTCACCGGCCAGCGTGATGCCCAGGCCGTGCGGGATGAGATCACCCAGATGCTGCTGACCCACGCCGGGGAGGGCAACATCGCGGCTGCCCTGCCGGAGAAGGCCTTCGTCGTGGCCTTCCCCAAGGGCTGCAATGACACGCCGGTCATCATGACCGAGCCGATGTCCATCTCCGGCATGATTTCCTTCATGGCTTCGCACCTGCCCGAGCCGAAGATCCCGACCGTTTCCAAGGGTGCGTTCTTGGGGCCTGGCCCCCGGGGAGGGGGGGGGGGGGG